AAAAAATTTGTTTTTATATCAGTTTTGCATTTGTTAACACTATCGGGTAGGTTTAGGGTTGGGTTTGGTGTAGGGCATATTTCCAACACGATAGAGCATTAACTTTTAGCGTCAGTCCCCGGATATTTGAATTCTGAATCGCCGCAATATGTACCTGAAGAAACGTAATAAAAACACAGGCAATACATACCTATATCAACGAATAAAAACGTGCCAGGGTTGACGTATTGAACCCGTGTTTTAGCGCCACTCAGTGGACATTTCTCTTTGAAACTGCGGCGAAACGTGCAGTAAGGTACGTAAAAACGGTGTTGCAGAAATGTACGCAGAGGTACGTATTTTTATGAGACTGGGTTGTCAAAAAAAGTTGCCCCGTGTTTCATCAGCCTTATATTGTATTTACTGTATGTTTTTCAGTATCTTAGCACACAATCTGCCAGCTTTCTGTATGGATTACACCATTTTAAGCACTGACAGGAAGTACAAGAGCTCTGAAGTCTTTTGGTAGAGTATTTAATCACCATTAAAATCAATAGCTTTCAACACTTCACCTTCTACTGTACCTCATAATCCAAGACATCTCCTCAGATGGCTACCAAAAAAAAGAACACTTTAAAGCAACATCAAAGATCACCACATAACTACCAGATAATGCAAGAGACATCATCAATACCTTTCTGAAACAAGCAACCAAATGTCGTCTTATTACTCTGCTGAGCATAGCTTGCTATTACTTGTTGTACAGTGTGCATGAATTTGTTTTGCTCCTGATCCATTACTGAAGGATGATGAATGAGGTTCAATGAAGTAATCACTCTCTCTGGCTACTTAGAATTAATACAGGAGTCTACTATTTGGGAAAAAGACTTCATTGTGATTAATGACGCCAAGTTCACTTTGCTAAAGCCAACATAATAAGGTAACCTTGCACTTATTACAGTCTTCAAAACATGTGCAAGCTTACCTGCTGAAAATCTGTAAACAGAACTAATAATATGCCTGAGAGAGGAGTTAGAGGAGGAATATACTGTCTAGTTGAGTGAACTAAGGTCGCCTTGTACAACACACAAACAAGATTGACCACATAGTAATAATACATTTCAACTAAATCATGTTCTACATGGAAAAAATGTTCTATGTATAAGCATTATTCAATTATTTTCAACTAAACTGCTTAGTAGTGGGCAATACGATTGACATTTGAACCAAAACGTAATTCTCAATATCACCACATAACAAATTCATTACTTCAGCTACAACTACAAATATATCCAACTTTACCTACCAACAGAAAAGTCATGTAAAGACACTTATGTAAAACAATATATACCGAATAGCAAATGCCAGCTGCTTGATTGTTTAATATTAGCCAGTGATATATTTAAAACTGGATATACAGTGGGTACGGAAAGTATTCAGACCCCCTTAAATTTTTCACTCTTTGTTATATTGCAGCCATTTATAAAGCAATAGCAATATCTGCTAAATGTGACTATAAAGCCTGAAGATATTAAGATACTACTAACATCATGATTTTCTGTAAAGCTGCTTAGAAACAAAATGTATTCTAAAAATGCTATACAAACAAAATCGACTTGCTTTGTTTCTTTGCACAAACATTCAAACTACCCTTGTATTTGTCAAATTAATTATGAGTTGTCATGATCAATTACACAAATTAATTACATATCAATATTTGGTAAGAAAAGCCCCCATAATGACTGCAGAGTAGGAAAAAAAACCATCAACATTAAAGCTTATGGAATTTATGTATGGCGTCGAAAAGCATGATTATTTGCATTTTTCATATAATTGTAATCTACAAATAAATAATTAACAAAAATTAACATTAATTTTGCATGATTTTTTGGCAGTCACTAATAACGTTGTTTGAGTATCAGCTGTGGAAGATATCATATTCACACTCATTAATTTCAGGATATTCACTGGGTCCTCTGAGGCTAATTTGGCATGCATTCAGGCCGCCAGGTGACAGAACGGCCC